GTCAGGCAAAGTTAGGAAAATGTGGAAATCTTAGAAAAAAAGGTTTAAAAAAAAAATTATGTTAACTCTATTGTTAATAATAATTATATTTATCTGGAGCCTTTTTATCTATTAAGTATTGCACTGTAGACTATATTCAAATAATAGATGTACTTTATTTATCAAAAGTCAGATTTAATAACCTTTTTCTACTTGCGAATGAATAAAAAGCTAAAATGGTAAAATTTTTTTACTTTTCCCTGTTAAATGCCATGTTCATATAAACAGCAAGTATTACAAAACAAGTATGATAAAACTAATTTGATATAAACATTAAAAACTTCCTGCTCCATATGACAAACCCTCATTATTTTTATTTTCACTTCCCTTACTCTTTTTAACTCCACGCAGGAACTTGCGACGCATCCTATACTTCTCACCATTTTTTCGACTTGCATTTTTTAATCGTGAACGATTTTTGTCTTTGCAACCAAGCTCAGTGTAGCTGCCTCTCTCCATCTGCATTTTATCATATATTTTTAATGTGGCTAAATTTCCAATATTAAAATGAGCAACTGCATCATAAGCAGCAATTTCCAACTGTACTAGTTTTACAAATGTATCTTTTGGAACACGATTCCATATTGTTGCATTGAAAGACTCATTTTGATTCTGACTTTTGCCATGGAGGCATTTGCTGAGTAAATTTTCATCTTGTAAAGCTATAAAGATTGGTTTAACAAACTTTATAACACTCATGGGTAGTCCTGGTCCTGGTTTATAATTTTGGGTATTATTCAACTTGTCAAGATGATATTGACACCATGTACCTGGCTCCTTTGGACAAAATGTGTGATAATTATGTTCTTTTGATGATGCCACATGAAAAAGTGCAGCCATCACAGCAATCTGCATTCCTTTTAGATTTCCTATATTTGAACGTATTGCAATACCATAATAGTTTTGCAGCTTATCAATAACAGCATCAGTTAACTTTCCTTTCCCTCGTAGTCCCTTCTCTCTCTTTTTTAATTCACGTAATCGTGTTCCAACGCGCTTCTGGACATGGCCAATGCATTCTTGTTTAACCACTTTTGTGCCATCATAAACATTTTCAATAGACAAAAAACTTTTTGAATCCCCATCCCCATAAAACTCAGTGTATCGCATTTTATTTAATTCTATAGATCGATTAAAAATTTTTTCTGTGCCAACCAATTCCATTGATGGTGCAGATCCATGATGATTGTTTGTACAAGTATGGTCTGCTATAAAACTTGCATATTTCTCTACGTTTGAATGTTTCCATATTCTGGCATTAATACAAGCCTGGCAATATTTACTCATTACCTCAATATCTAGTACTCGACCTGTGTCAATAGAAATTGCTGCAACAATACCATTATTTGAACTAAATCCACGCCGCTGCCAAGTACCATCAACAGATACACCTGCATCACATAATATATCTGCTTGACTATCTAAATGAGGCAAAATAGATTGCTGCTGTCTGACGATTGGATCTAGTTTTTTCAATGTTCGTATTTCTTTAACAGCTTGATGCATTATATTTTTGGCAACTTTTTTGATTACAACTTGATAATTAGAAGCAATATTATTGTAACTTTTTTCTGTCATAGGGGGAGGATGATTTAGTAATGTAAGAAATAGTTTCAAAGATTGATAACCTTTTCCTATTCTACGTATACTGTAAAACATTCTACTATTAATGTCGAAACTTTTTGTTTTTGATCTTTTTTTGGAAGTCCAGAACAATTTAAACCAACCACACATAGTACACTTCAATTCAAGTTCGAAAGCAATTCCTAATTTCTGCTTTTGATTAAGCTTTACTGAATTATGTGAACACTCTGGGCACAAAAGAATCCTAAAAGTTTCAGCTAACAATTCCATATCAACTATTCGGTTGCCTGTAATGTTTTTTGAACAGCAGTTATTAACAACTTTAACCATTGAACCATTTAACTTTGTATAAGAAACTGTTGTTGCTATGTTGTCTTTATTTGTAACTTTAGAGTTTTCAGTAAAATTTTTAGAGTGTTGGTTACCATAAAACTTCCTACTTTTATGTCTTTTAGATCGAAACTTACGAGATGTTTCCATTTCAATTTGTAAATATTTTTCAACTTTTTAGTTATACTAGTTACATAAATATACAAAGCAATAGATAGAAATCTTATAAATAGCATAGATAGATAAATATACATAGCAAAACAGCATAGAGATTATCTTATAAAGCATACTACCTTGTTATAATACTGAAAAATAAAAAAATATATATAAACCAATTTTGTAAAACATAAACAAACATTCTAACAAGACCAGCCTGTCAAATCAGTAGTTTAATTAGTTAAATAACTCCATCATGCTTATTACGTCTTGTACAAACAAAAAGCCATCTGTACAAACAAAAAGCCAAAATCAACTTTGAAAAAAGGGCTTAAAAAGATGAAAAACAACATTTAAAAACGGTTGCTATGCGCGTTGCTAGGGTAATTTAAATAATGAACATCTAAATAAATGAAATTTTGACCAATATCAGCATGGATAGCAAAAATTTAAAAATCAGCAATAGTTTCTACGATAAATTTGAGGTTAAATTAAGTGTATTTTTGAAAAATTAATTTTTTCAATAATTTACACTTTTTTAATAGGGTTGTGCCCCCTTAAATGGACATCAAGTTGGTCTCAACACCCCCTCCCCATTGTCAATTCTTGTCAAACTTTTCAGTACCCCTTCCCCCTTTTATTTACTGACATCATTTATGGATAGCCCCAAAGTCCTACTTATCCAGGGACCGAGATAACAGAATTCTAATGAATATACTCGTTTTTTTTTTATATAAGCATAACGCTTATAGGCTCAGATTTGGAAAAAAAAAAAAAAGCACATGTAAGCATATTCCTGAGCCTTGATAGACCATTTAAAAAATTTTATTTTTATTTAATTAAAAATTTTAGATATATATATTTCTAAATTTAAACCAACAAAAACCGAAGTTTATAACAACATAAATTCAGCTGCATTAAAACCAAAACAAAAATACAGAGCATAAGTCAACTTTTTGTTTTTCTTATACCCATTAATCTTTAGTAACGTGCACACTTTTAGAAATTATTGAAATAGGTATATTTTATCAGAAATATGCTTAAGCATATTTTTGAGCCTCTTTTTACTATTTGCTTAAGCATGTTCAAACCTGTTTCAAAAATTTCATATGCTTTAAAAAAAAAAACATGTATATTCCTACCCATCATTCTTATTTTTACTATACGTAATGAGTTTAAAAAACATCGTTATATATATTTATTATGGCACGTTTCGTAAGTTTATTTCGGTTAAGAACTCTTTCGTATGTTGTGATGCAAAATACTTTCGTTTCGAAAGAAATTTTGTTTTTTATCAGTATTTCTGAAAATAAAACCATAAAAATTTAATATGTTTTTAAACTGAAAATAAAAATTCATTATAAACATTTTGGGATTTAAAGATGTTAATTTTTACAATTAAAATCAGTCTGGCAAACAAATTTTCTTTATACACTTCAAAACGTCGTTTGGTGAAAATGTTTGTTTCGCAAGTGCGTCTTCCGAAACCGCTACTTTCGTATGTTGCAAAATAGTTTTGTTGCGTATGTCAACTTGCGAAATGCTATATTTCGGAAGTAGCTTTTGCGAAATGAACATTGGCGATTTTTAATGTTTTGTAACATTCGGTACGAAAAAATGTAATTCCTCGTTCTCAATCTCCTTACGAAAGAATGTTGTTTTTCCGGAATTGGACGAAATCCTCCGGTTAACAACCCTAATTTAAACCCATTATTTACATTTAAAAAACATTACACAATTTGTATTAAGTTGATTTCCTCCATTATCTTAGTTCACAACAATAACCTTACAAAGAAACTTTTTAACAACATTTAGAAATTTTTGTGGTTTTTAGTCTATTAGTGGGACATTAAAAATGCACTTTATAATTATTTTATCTTAAATTATGTATTTTAAAACTATAAACTTGTTAAATTAAATACAAAATACTTCCTCTCATTCAATAACAACACGAAAACAAATTTATTTGGTTTATCATGCCTTAAAGTAGTTTTTTTTTTTACTTTTTGTAAAGAATGAAAAAAATTGTTTTTTATTCGAAGAAACTTTTATTTGTTTAATAAAACATCAATTTTTCAAAATTATTTAGCGCTTAAGATCGCAGCTACTCAGGGTAGTTAGAAGACTAAAAGATATCAAAATATCATAAAGGTACAAACTGGAATAATTTTTTAATTCTTCATCAAAATTAAAATCTAATACTTTTGTGATGAATTTTTTGGTTTCAATGCTAAAAAAATGTAGTACCAACTTTTTTTAAGAAATTTTTTATTTTTAAAAGTCTAACTATAACCTTTCCAATGATCCATATATTCTCAATTTTTCAATGATCTATATAATAAAAAAATAATAATTACTAAAATCCAGCGTCTTGAAAATTTTTATCAAAAATTCATTTAAAACCCAACTTCAAGAAGCCACTACCATTGAGCCTGTCACATTTAGAATTTCATAAATTGGAATCTTAGTGAGGGTATTAGTAACAAAACCCACTATCAGACATAATGATTGAAAAATCAAGTGACAAAAAGTCACTTTTTTGATTTTTTGGCCATGTGATTTCCCACTGTGCACTGCTCAGAATGACGTAACATTGGTCCAATTCAGTTTAAACTTTACTATGATTTAATAAAGCAAACATTCTTAATTAATTATAGCATACAATTATAATTATGACCGGCATTTATAACTATTACAATAGTAAAATAATCAGCTGACACAATGGAGGTAATTTCTTAAATAGATAACAAGAAAACTAACAAAAAAAAAATTAATGTTGAGATTAAAACCACTAAATATTTTCTTAATCGTTTTCAAATTATTTGAAAACCCTTGAAGAGAACTTTTTTTTGTAAAGACTAAAAATGATAGACTTTATTATAATATATAATTTCTATAGGATTAAGAAAAATTATTAAAACATTATTACAACAGTAACTTCATAAAAATAAGTTTAGCTTTTATACTTGCTACCCAAAGAATAATATTACAACACTTTATAAAAATATAAAGGTAAATAACTATATATATACATAAATTTCTTCTTGCTTCTAATGTAAACTAACATAAAATGAATCGCTAACTTGAAAAAGGAGACATGTTACGTGAATTTTTGCAGGACATGTTTCAAGTTAGCGATTCAAATATAATGTAAATGTTGCACGAGCCATAAAATATTCTCACTGACTTGGCTTTTAAAAAAGTGTTGTTAATCATGAGCATAGATAGGTTTAACACCGTTTGCTTTCATATTAGATAAGTCTATTTAAGCAATGTGATACAATGTTATGAATACATGTTTCAATACTTTAAAACAAATAGCATTAAAATCTCCAGATGAATGAAAGAAATTATCGCAATTCGTATTCAAATCCGTCATTTTTTGTTCCCAATGTTAATAAGTCATTTTTACTGTTACATATTTGTAAATTAAGATTAAAAATCACACTTGAACTTGTATTCACCGTTGACCGGGTCGGAGTGAATTTTAAATCCGATACTTTACGAGAAAAAATCCCAGCACTCATTCTCTTTATAATACTTATTGAAGTGCTGTGAGTTGATTGAGAAACAAATCGTGGAATCTAAAAATAGTATACGGCAAAATAATAACACAATTAGTTAAAATATTTAAAAAAAAATTATAATTCTAAAATACTTTTTATCACTTCTTTTCAAGGATTTACGGTCAATGTCAACAGATCGTGTATTACGGTCAATGTCAACAGATCATGCATGTCAATCATCATGTATAGTCAAATCATCATGATTAAAAATCATAGACCTATACTTTGAAAATTAACTCATTAAATAGTTAAGTATAAGAGACAAGCAGAGGGCTAAAAACTGCTAATAGAATAGCTAACCCACATCTAGATTTTCTTTCCGATACGGATGAGTTTCGATTTTTTTTAAATTAAAAGTATATCCATTGAAAACGGATCCGTTTTAACGGATATAATTTCCAAATATTTTAGAAAAATAATATTGAAAAGTTTAAAATTATTATTAAAAATATCTAAGAAGTCAATAATATATATATATATATATATATATATATATATATATATATATATATATATATATATATATATATATATATATATATATATATATATATATATATATATGTATGATTGTATGTATGTATGTATGTATGTATGTATGTATGTATGTATGTATGTATGTATGTATGTATGTATGTATGTATGTATTTCAGTTTTAAATGTGTGTATATATATATATATATATATATATATATATATATATATATATATATATATATATATATATATATATATATATATATATATATATATATATATATATATATATATATATATATATATATATAAAATAAAATATGGCGAACTTAATGAAGTAAACACTTGATACAATAGCATGTTGGCAACTTGTTGTGACTGTTGCTTAACTTTGTAAAAACTCATAAAACTTTATGATACTTACAGATGATTTTTGCTTGAGACGATTTATCTTTAACCTTGCAGAATTCCGTACTTCTTTACTGATAAAAATTTGAAATATGCAAACATAAATACCCTATAAAACACATTTAAAAAAATAGTAATGAATATAAATTCAAAAAAAAGATAAAATATAAATTGAATGAAATATTTTAAATGAAAAACAAATATATAGTATATGTAGCATTAAACTGTTTGTTGTTTGCTTTTGTATATTCAATTCTTTAGTTTAGCGCTACATCTTTTAAATAGATTCGTTCTAAAATTCCTACGTGCAGAAATATTCTTCAAGGGATTTAGCGCTGCAATAGTTTATGAGTGTGCAAAAAGAACTTTACAAAATGTTAATATATTTCCAGAGGGAATTTTATTGTTTAGCAATCATTGCAATCATAAAAGCAGTATTTTTTAATAACTCCCTAAAAACCCAAACAAACATTTTTTGAATTCATTTTGGGGCCTAAAAAATAGTGAGACCCTAGGCTGCAGCCTAGTTAGCCTATAGGTAAATCCGGCCCTGTTTCATTCCTGTCTCTGCACCATAAACCTGGTCATTATTTAACTTTGATTCTAAAATGAATAAATGATTTTAAAATAATCTTTAACTTTTAAATTGAATATTATTTTTAAATTTAAAAGTAAACAAAATCAAATTTCTTTATAAATTCAATTGAAATTTTATTTTTATCAAAACAGCTTATTGATATTTTTATAGACTGTATGGATTTTTCAAGTTTTAAATTTAACTTTTTTTAAAGTAACAAAAGCAACAAACCTGAGGAGCAATAAGAATAACTTGAAGATATTCAAATGGTATACAGTCACTTGGTCCAGTACTTACAAAAATATAACCACCACCAAGTAAAAATACAAGAATAAAAAAGCTTCGAGCAGCTTTCCTAAATTTAAGGAATAAAAGTTCAATAATGATTGTAAAAATTTATAAAAATATATCAGGTGTATAAATTTATATTTTAAAACAAGCAAATTAATAAAATAAAATTTATCAGATAAAGTAACACAGCTAAGGTCCAAAATAATTTTTTTTTAATTTTTTTTTTTTATCTTATTGCTTAACTATAACTATAGCCAAACTAACATTTGATTTCTATTGCTAAATTCATCTGATTAACTTTAATAACCACACATAAAGATATGTATGTGCACACATATAAGCATACCTTTAATTATTAATTACAAAAAAGCAAACATGATAAGAAGATACAATATGAAGCTAATGTGATGCTGTTTGTATATGAAATGTGTTGTTGTTTGAATAAGAAATGTGTTGTTTGAATAAGAAATGTACTGTTGTTTGATTGCATTGGTGCTAATTAATGGTTATCATTTTTATCAGGTTAAATTAATAAAATTCAAATAAACGAATTTTCATTTAAATTTTTTTGCAAGATCTTGCAAGAAAATTTAAATGAAAACATTTATAAAAAAACATTTATAGAAAATGTACTTGAATCTGAAGAATATATAGTACAAATCATAAGATATGTTATATACATACAGATATGTTATATATATATATATATATATATATATATATATATATATATATATATATATATATATATATAAATAAACAAATATATATATATATATATATATATATATATATATATATATATATATATATATATATATATATATATATATATTGGCTTAAATTTATAAGGATTTCTGTTCATATTTTTATATGAACAGAATATTTCAGGATATACTGAAATAGACGCCTGAAAACAAATTTTATTTTAGCCTAGTTTTACATGAAATAAATTCCAAACTTAAAATGGCAAAAATATTATTGGGTAAAATATAGATGTCGAAATAACAAGATAACACCTGCCCAAACCCAAAACCAAGTCAATGCATGTGTTAAAGTCCCCTAACCATAATTTTGTTATAAAATTGTAAATCAAATTATCATCGCTAAAAAGTTGAAAGTAAAGACCTTTTTACTTTTTCAGGTATACATGTTTTGTTGAGTGCAATGGTTAAAAAAAACTATTAATATGAAGTAATACTTATTAATATTTCCAAATAAACAAATAAAACATCTGAATTAAAAATAATAAGACTTAATAAATTTGTTAAAAGTTAAATTTAAAGCTAGGAAAAATTAAGCTTCGTTTTTCAGAGCCAAAGATTTAGAACTTGTAAAGAAATCTAAAAAAGATTCACACTTTTCGAAAGTCACAACAAATAATATTTCAAATACTAATTTAGATTTATTTGAATATAACATGGACAATTTTTGATAAAACCTATTTTATGTTTATTTCTACAAACCTTGATTTCTCAAGTTCACAACCAGTACCACTTTCAAGCTTGCTTCTAATAATCCACATTAGATACAGCAATATAAGTACATTCATCTGAAAAACAAAATAGACTAAAAAAAAAAAAAAATTAGATTATATTTAAAAGATATTAGTTATTGTGCTACAATAAGTAACTACTCTAAAGTTGCACACTGCATAATTACTGTTGTATATTAATTATTCAAAAAATTAGAAATAAGGGATACCAAGCTATAATTCATTAAAATACTTTACTATGGCACAGTTTCTACATTAATTTGCAAAAAAGAACATTTTGTTTTAAATCTTTAACCCTACCACAACCCGATTAAATAAATTGTTAGGAAAGACTTATTGTATTTTATTATTTATTTTTTTAAAATAAAATCTCATTTGAAATCTATAAATAAATAGTGGTAAACGCTTGCTTCATGAGAGGTGTGTACACCACATCCCAAAAAGTACCATGCTCAACTTGTTTCTCTACGCAGCAGACTTGTAGACTTATCATGATCAAGGTTTGACTTTTTATAGAACATAATTAGTTTATTCTTAGTATATTAGTATATTGTATTTCAAAGTTATAGGATTAAACTATATTACAATAATTACAAAAATTAATTTTTTTTTATTAATAATTTAATAAAAAATTATTTATTAGTTAATTATTTCAATAAAAAAAAAATTAATCAAAATAGTTAACTAATCAATTCAAAAATTTTATAAATAGGTTCTTGAGAGGGTGAATAAAATTAAAATCATACAATCTTATGTAAATTCTATGTATAAACGATCATGAAAAATAATAACTTGATAATAAAGTAAAAATGCTAAATACTCTAATATAAAATAATAACAAAAAAACAAATATAGCAAATATAACATATAAAATAAAATAATAAAAAGTGTTAACATTATAATAATAATAATAATTAAAAAAAAGATTTGTATTTTAATATCCTAACTGAATTTCAAATGGGGGCAACCTTTTAAAACAAGACATGGAAACTAGATGTGGAAACCATATTAACAAAAAATTAATTCAAAACCATAAAACGACTTCAGAAATAAGTCAAATATTTACCATTTAAATCACAAACTAAAAGCCAGGGCAAATAAAAAACCATAATTTAAAGGTAAATTCAATCTATTCAATTTTTAACTGGCATTTTCTAGTTTCCAAAGAAATAATAGTTTTTAATATTATTATCAACAATATTATTTTCAAAAATTATTATTATTTTATTTTAACTTTAGAGTATATAAAAATAAATTCTCTTTATTAACTTTTAGAACTAATTGCATAACATGCTCTTTCAATTATATATATATATATATATATATATATATATATATATATATATATATATATATATATATATATATATATATATATATATATATATATATATATATATATATATATATATATATATATATATATATATATATATATATATCAACATGGAAAACAAAAAAATTGAAGTCGAGCAGTCAATTTGACCAGCTATCACATAGAATTGATAATCAATTATTTTTTTAAACAGTCAAAATTTTTATTTTTTATTTTTTTCAATTTTTATCTTAGTAATAATTCTTCATGACTGAGTTTTATATATACAAAAATAACAAATAATGCTTAAAAATTAATGAATTTGTATTCCTTTTAAAACAATATTTTAAAATAAAATCAATGCATTTTTAAAAGGAAACCCAAATAACTAACATTCAAATTACCAACTAATAAAAAATCAAATAACTAATATTCAAATTACCAGCTAATGTTGATAGTTTAAAATAATTCTGGTGCACCCAATAGTGAGCCATTCAATTTAAAAAAAAAGATTGATACCTTTCAAGTAATTTAATTATGAATTTTTTTTTTTAATATCAAAACAATTTGTATAGAATATTAAAAAAGGTTTAAACTGAATACTTAATACTAAAAGTTGGGTTTGCTAAAATACTTTTAGCAAACCCAACTCTGGTCCCCATGAAAATTATAAGATTTAACAAGGCTTGATAGCTGGGGCTAGTAAAAAATGTATAATACTTAATTGTAATTTTATACTTACATTTACTATTTATTAAATACTGGCATATATTTATATATTTTTAAACTCTAATTTACTTCCAACAAGATTGCAAGCAACCTCTATTAAGTTGAGTTACTTTAAAATAGAGGAAAAGATTGAAAAGCTAAGAAACAATACATAAGCTAAGAAACGATATAAACGATATAAAGATTGAAAAGAACTGAAGACTTAAAAAGTTGTAGGATAAGAGTTATAAGGTTTTTTAATGTGCAAAGAAATAAACTGGATTAATAAAAGATTTTATAGCATGAAGGGGCAGATTAAGTAAAAAGATGCAACTTGTTGAATAAGAAGTCAATCAAGTAATAGAAATGATAGCTCGTTTCTCAAGCATCGACTGTGACAGTATTTGCGGAAAAAAAAAGAAAGAAATGCAACCTTACATTAATGGGCTGTGGCTCAAGCTTGGCAGATGAAGCAGGAATAATTAAATTTACAATGAGCTTTTAGATTTTGTCTGAGAGTAAAAGGGTTGTTATTCTTCATTATAGGAATGCCAACAAAATTGCAATATTTTTTGCAGTAAATAAATGAGTTTTGTTGTCTAACAAAAATTGTAGGTTTTAACTCCAGACTTAAAATCCACAAGCCACTGAAAGCCTTAGGCTGTTTCAGAAAAGAGATCAGATTAAAAAAACGGCTGCTTGTTCAAAGCAATCAAAAAGTGGACTTTTTGTCAAGATAAGAGTATAGAGTTGAGTTGTCAGCAAGTTAGAGTCAGTTCAGATGTAAAATTTTCATGAAGATCATTATTGTATATAAAAAACAATACAGAAGCAAAGATAAACTAACTTTAAGGGGTACCTTTAAAGGTTAAAGTCTAAATAAAAATCTAAATAAAAAAGATAAAAATAAATCTAAATAAAAAAGAATGTAGGTCTTAAGAATAACTTTAATACTTCAGTTAAAAAAAAACTTATTTAAAAATATCAAAAACTTTAAAGAAACTAATAACTGAGTGAAGACTAATCTTAGGATAGTTGGAGGGGTCCAGGTGTTTATAGAATTTTTTATAACTTGAACAACTTATTTAGCACTTTTTAATAGTTAAGCAAAAATTAAACAGAGTTTTGGAGAACACTTTTTACTGAAAATAGACTATGTTAAAAACATAG